ATAATTATTTTATAATTATATTATATATTATTATATAATTATTTCTTGTTGTTATTTGTAATATCTAATTGCTAATTCTAGAGATGTATTCATTTGTAAAAATATTGTGAAAGAAATAAAAACGTTGCTAATTAGTTGACTAGAATAACTGCTACAATATGTTAATTCAATCAAGTAATTTTAACTAATCAACATCAGGAGTTTGAAATTTCACACGTGCTATATAGCACAAGTTTTTTCTTCTGTTATAACTCAGTACGAGGTGGACAAGAAGTTGACAAGATGTCGTCGTTTATTTAAACGCGTCGACCAGCTGTTTGGTCGTGAGAATTTCGTTTCTTATTTGGAAATGTTACGACAACCAGTTTTAGTAATTCTAAAGAAAGTGTCTCGATCGAGATACGCGTTTTCTAACATCGTCCCTGATATATTCGCGAAAGCTAATAGGTAATTAATAGCTGAATATATTAATTTATTACCTATGTAATGTCATTCAAAGTTAACCGTTAATAGTATTCAAATTAAATTTTAATCAAATTTCTTTATTTTTTCTAGAAAACAAACATTTTGCAACTAGCTTATATATCATAATTATATTGAATACAGAAGAAATATTTTCTCCATTTAATAAATTTTGGAAATTAATTGGTCTAGACTCTCTCTCTCTCTCTCTCTCTCTCTCTCTCTCTCGCATCTTTCAGAGCATTTTATAATTGTTTTCATATTTTATAATATGTGTCTGTGTCTTTATACGTATCAGAATTGCCAAAATAAAAAGATGCGTGGCAGCTAGATTTATTTTGCAATTTTTACGGAAGACATTAATATGTATTTCAAACCGGTGCAATTAAGATATAAAGTTCAAGGATATTGATTTCTTTATTAATTCAAAGGTCGTCAACTTTTTCGTCCTCAAAAGCCACTTTGAATATTCTATTCTACAAAGATCACACATCGGTTATAAAACCTCTAAAGTAATGTACAAGAAATTCGACCGCGATTATGTAATTTGCAATTACCGAAATACTTAAAACAAGAGTATAGGGTGCATTATCTTACATGTAAGACTAATTCAGGTAAAATACAGATGCTAATTAATTTTGTCAATGTTATTTTTGCTTACATTATCTTTCACCGAAAACTTTTACGAGTGCGCTTATATAATTATAATTAGTATCGATTATATATCAATTAGGCAATACTCCAATTAAAAAAAAAAATTTTTTTCTGTAACATTTTATACCCAGAATAATGAAAGTGAAGCAATACTCTTTGTGCGTAAAAGGAAAAAAGATATGCGTCCTATTATCACTATTTCGGCATGTATCGCCGGTGTGCGGGTTAATATCAGCATTTATCTATGTGTGAAAATAATCATACTCAGTTTTGCACTATTCTTTTCTCTAATGAAATGCGCAAATTTATTTTGTTATTCTCTACTACATTATAATGATGTTTACGTACTTTAAAATTTTCTTTCATTAAAATTAGTGTGATTGAAGTTATCACAAAATATATTATATAGAATAATATATTACAATACATATAATTCATGCGACATAAAAAATAATTATCTTTATTTTTCTTACTTACTTTAATTACTGCAGTTTTTGATTTAATCCGTGTGACTTCTTAAATATTGTATCACTTCTATGTTAGTTTCAACGCATTATGTTCTCTGCAATTTTCATTGAAAACATAATGTGCCATTTAAAATTAAAATTAAACTATATTTTTTTTAACATAAAATAATGAGTTAAAGTAGATAGAACGCCATATCGATCATACTTTAAAATTTATAGGAGATGTTTATACACTTCTGTTTTATGTATCTTTTGTAAAATTCAAAGAGATAAATTCAAATAGATTCGTGATGCGAATGTGAACTACGGACTACCCTTTATGTCACGAAAATTCCGTATCATCTTGCGAATGCACACAGACGTATTTCTATGACGTTTTTACTACTCGAGAATATTGCAAGGGCCAAGCCTTCGCTCCGGGAAATGTCACTGTCGCTTTCACAGAGCGATTCGCAACTGATCCCAGGTTTGTAACGAGCAATTGGCGTCGCCGGCACTCGGAATGCACTTGTGGCACAATGAACTCCGACCCTCCGACAATGACAACGACGACGACTACGACAACGATCATGCCGACGAAGAGTTGAGAGGAGGGCGCGTTCAGGGGCGGAGGTCGTATGGGCCCTCATTCCCGAAGCAAGGAGAGAGAGGGTGTGGTACCATCATGCTGGTACTTCAGCTAGCAAAGCGACGAGGATATTCTGCAGAGACATTGACATTGCGGTTAACAAAGTGCTATTGCAATTACTAACAGAGCATGACAACAATAGAAGAGTGCGAGATCGATATTGCGTATAAAGAAATGGATTGATTAATCAAGCGATACGAAGTTGAAGAGCATGAAAATGCGAATCGATAAATGACGAAATATTCAAGCTGTGTTCTTGAAAAAGTAGGTTACTGAAACAGAAATCAACTTCTCTTACGCCATATCCAAGTTAGCAAAAAGAGACTTTCCATATATCACGAAACACAAGCAACAAAGGCAGTATAAGAAAACTTGTGTTATTCCATAATGTGAATTTATTATTAAATATACGTTATAAACATGTATAATGTAACTTTGCGGCATTCATTGCATAAAATCAAAACGCATTATTATAAATTACCTTGTATCATTTGCAATTTATAGTCTATATTTATTCCATATTTAGCTGTTATTATACGTTATTTACATTCGCTTGCATAACTTGCAAATTAATAATACTTACATTTTGTTGTAATGCATTTTTTCTTGCAGTATAATAGTTTCGTTTGTAGCCTGATGTCTCGGATACAGATGTAACAGCTCTCACGTTAAAAAAAGAGTTAAAATAGATGCGCGAAAGCCAGAGTTCAGAGTTGTCTGTCGGAATAGCCGAGAGCAGGCAGACTGTAATGAGATGATTGGGAGAGCAATTCACTGTGTTCCCTCTTGTTCTCGCAACACGCAATAGATCGTACTATGGTTAGATTCTCGCTCGAAGCATCGCTTAATCCCGTAATGCTGCACAACATCCCGCTAAATAAAGTAATTAGTAATTATGGTGGAACGTTCCCTTTGCGTTCAGTACGGTTTGTGTGCTTCAGAAATTATTCATTAGTTATAATAAAAAAAAAAACTGGCCTTTAACCTTGGCATGATTTTGTTTGTTAATATATATTGTCAATATATATTGAGGGTATAGATACCATTTAAAATAAATTTAATGCACCGTTAAGTGCATTTTTATACTTGGTATTTAAATAATATATATAAATGTTTAATAATTATTTAAATTAATTTTGTAAATTAATATAAAATATTATATTAATATTGCCCCAAGCTGAAAATACATTAAGGCATAAAATATATTATAGAATAAATACAGAAGAATAAATAGTAGTATGTTTTTTTTTTAATTTTGACTTATCTCTTTTCGTTATTTTATATTTTTAATTACCGGTTTTTATATCTTGCAATATATATATTCTATTTATGTACTCTATCATGCAATTGTAGATAGCTAAACAAACATTTTATAATCGCAAAGTAGCCACATGTAAGTGTACATTCTGTTTCTGAGTTGTATATCGTTTATTTGCACAATGCATTATGAAGATTACTTAATGCACAAGAAAAGTGCAAAAAAGCGTAACTTAATATGAATAAAATTAAAACTATTTATTAATTTCAAAACACATAAAGTTTTTAATAACTATCACTATCGTTTTTTATATCTATCTACCTATCTATCGAAAGAGAGAGAGAGAGAATTTAAATCAATAATAAAAACATTTATCAACGTAATGCGCATCATATTTTATTCATAATCGTTTTAATTTACTATTAAAATAATAAAATGTAGAAACTGTGAGGAGATTGTTTCTAAATAAAATTTGAATATCGCTGGAATAAAAAGTTATACGTATTGTATAGAACTAGTAATTGTATATCATATATGTCTCAATAATATTATTTATGTGTATTATTTATCACGCGCGGTAAGCTAGGTAAAGAAAATATTTTTTTCGCCGAGCGATCGCCTGTCGATCGTTATCTTTTTTTTAGAGTAATGTAGAAATTATGTACTTCGCCTCGGCGCAAGCTTTCTACATAATATACACACGCTAATGTTTTTACGATTTGTATATCTGAAAGAAATAATCGGCAATTTTTGTAAGTTTTGTTGAACTGCTTCTTGACTTTACAAATTATACAATATACTTAACAAATATTTTTGTTATTTTTAATAGCACATAAATATGCTTCGCAAAACATCCATAATTTTTCTAGTGATATTTGTTTTTGTAAAGTCCGTGACCGAATAAATTCCCGTACAGTTGTAACAGCATAACAAAGTTAATTTATATGAATATTTCAATGACAGTATTACCTTGGTGTCGCACGCACCAATAGCATGCCGATTAATTAATTTCACAATTTTGTGTGAAATCACGCGGAACATCGTTGCTTAATAATACGCGGAGGATCAGTCATCTGGGTTGGGAATATTTTCAATTTATGGAAACGCGTCGAGAGGCGATGATACAACAAACATGAATTTTTACCTTCATTTTGTACATGAGATCGATTGTAAACACAGATTAAAACACCATGGCATATATCCTAATTTCTTTTGCGATAAATAAAACGGAATTTTCATAAATCTTTTAGTTTATTGAATTAAACTACGCGCATAAATATAATGCTGTAAAAAACGTAATGTTAGTGCTACTATTAATTTTGTATAGATTATTTATGTTTCTTTTAAATTGTAGCATTTGATTGCCTTGACGAATGCATAATTAGCGGGAGCAATTATGTATATTGACGAACATTCGTCTTATTGATCGGTTATTATCAGCGAACGAAATTGTCGATCCTCTTTTCGCGATATTATAATTAAGCGCAGCGATTTGCCGGCAACGAGTAATCGAAGAAAGAAAACGAGGCCGCCCCAGAACCATGGATTCGCCCGTGGCATTTAAATCTACTTAACTTCTTTTCGTTCTTGCATCTAAAGTGGATAAGCGAACTGCCGCCGAGGTAAGAAGCAATCTTTATAAATAACATCTATCTGCTTTTCTTATTCGACTTTTTGTTTTATAAAATACGTTTAAATGGCGCAATTTTTTGCGCCGATTGTGACCAACAATATTATCGATTATCATTAATCGATGATTGCTTAAAAAATAATTACATCGAGAAAAACTCTTTGCAAACGTTGACAATGTTTGCGGATGTATATTTTAAAAAATAAATATAGATATAATTGATTTTATGAATAATACAAAAACGGCGGGATTATTGCGTGGGAAAGACTTCGACACTCGCTTCGATGGATTTATGCAATTCTGCATTCGCATTGGGAGCCGCCTCTACGAGATTTCGATTGCGAATCGACAGAACGGCGCGGAACAACGGAGTTGCATAACGATTACGCTAATATGTCGTGTTGTCTAATGTGCCCGCCTGATCGAGAAACGTTCAATTCATGCGTCGTGCGTTGCGAGATACGCGATTTGGACACAGGAAATAGGAAGTAGTCGGTTTGCAGAAATTTTGTTTATAAAAAATATTATCAAAGTAAGGAGAACAAAATTCCTAGAGCAGAAAATCGAAACTCTCTTACTGTTAGAACTTACTGCGTCTCCTGCGGCGCAATGATACCTGTGCTTTCAAAATTTTATTACAAATAATAAGATTACGATTACTGTGTATTATAATAAATCATACGGATGGATTGATCTTAATGATACAAATTGAAAAATGTTTTTTGTCGATAATATATTACTGTAATATATATGTATGTATTTAAGAGCGTTATAAACAGATAAAACATAACTTTATTTCTAGCATCTGTGAGTTATTATATTTGTTCATCAATTAATTTATATTTATATTTATTATTTCAGTAGACTATGAAAAAAATAAGAATTGAAAATAAATTGAACTGAAAAAAAGATAATTTTTCATGCAGATATGAAGAAAATTTTTGAATATATTGGAAAATTGGAATTTTTAATAAAAGTTGGAGCGCGCGTTATGTTTTCAACGCATTTATTTTAGGACAAGCAATAAGATTAATATCAAACTATATACATATAATAAAAGTATTTAATATGATAATGATTATATATATATATATATACATATATATATATATATATAATTTAACATCGTCACGAGTGATAATATACTTTTATAAACGTAAACATAACACACTATAAAATATAAACACGTTGTAAAATTCGGAGCGCTCGCTTTGTTTATTTTGCAGCGTAACCTCAGCGTTGCTTATGGCTTTAAGACCTTGTCAGTCGTGCGGCGAGCCTCGAGTCGGACGGTTACGTTGTAAGTCACTCCCCTCAGTAGGACGTTTTACTTTAACATATATATATATATATATAAAATTGATAAGTTTTCTAGTGAAATTGATAAATTTTCTAACTATATTGAAAGAAGTTCACTATACTTAAAGAAAAGCAATAATTAACTAAAATTGGTTCATAATTAGATATGCATTTTTGGTATCACAATCAACATGAATTGTTACATTAATCAGTGATCCAATCGTGCGAGGCAGTGACATTGGTGCCGCTCTACGTCTCGCATTGCGTAAGGCCGAGCATTGTTTCGTTGGAACAGGGCTAATCATAATTACCCTCATTACCAGCCGAGTAATGCCAGATATTATTCTGGGATATCGTTGACCCCGAGTTCGTTTCGCAGACGTAATAGTCTTTACGATCACCATAACGATCTCGGTGCAGCTCGTTTCTCAAAAGCTCACCTTTTAAAAGATAGAAAACCTTCATTATCTTTCGCTATTTGTCATGACGTCAATTGTAATGCAATGTTTTCTCAAGTAGAGCCAAACAAAGATAATCATAAATGATAATCATTTGTAACGTCAACATCTTTTGATGCTGATTTGATCTTTTAACAATGATAATGTGCCATATTATAAGTAGAAAGATATTTGATATTAATATTAGTACAACAAAAGATTTATGCATTTGTTGTAGAATTATGTGCAATTTAATAAATCTATTAAAATTTTATATTTTTGATTAGATGATCTTTTGATAATAACATGACAAGGCGTGTGCCAATGTGTTATTCTGTATTTATATCTTTCTCAAAATTCAAAATAAATTCTAAAGCATATAAAATCCTAAAAGACCTTAAAATCAGTTATGTCAACCTCATTTATATATTCATTTATCAAATTATGGCATTTTTATATAAATAAACATATGTGTAAATGCCTGTTTAAGGGGTTACATACCTTTGTCGAGTAAAAAATATCGATTTTTTTTATCGGCTTATTAAATTGTATATAGTTTCAAAAATCAATGATTTAAAGCGCATTGAAATATTCATAAAATTGACAAAGATATGAACGAAAATGCGAGAATGGACATGACTCATGCGCTCGACCGCTTGGTGTGCACCGAGCTCGAGACGTATCGAGACGCGCTCGACTGTGTACGAAGCCCTAAGTAAAGAAGAATTGCTGCAAAGGTGTCTAGGAGGTTATACACAAAACAATAATGAAAGCTATAATCAGGTTTTGATTGATTTTTATTGCGTGTGAAAACATAGCAGTGCGTCGGCAAATATCTAATAGAAAGTTAAAGCCAATTTAGATAGCAAATTTTTATTGGATGGGTTAAACCAGTTATATTTTATATATGCTAATTAGATTTATTTTATATGCTAACGCATCAATACGCACACATATTCGAGAGTTAGATGAGCCAGTATCTCTTTTAATTTATATTTATCATTTAATCTCTTTAAGCTTGATCGCTTTCACCGATAGTTTCGAAATGTCTGACAACGTCGCCAAGCACGTGCCCATAAGTACTTTATGCATGATCGATCTCCTTCGATATTCGGTCCATCTCATGTCATCTGTCTTGCTTGAACCGATTGCATATGTAATTCTATATATTCCATACATGACGTAACCGATTCCTCAGACCATCAGCGTCTACTTCGGCTCGCGGATTGCTCAACCCAGTGAACGCAAATACGAAGCATTCATTTTTTTGCTATCTATAAAACATGCATCTGTATCAATGCCGTCGTATCGGCAGAGGAAAGGGAAAGGGGATATCGAACCACTTTCGGGATCACTTTCACGCACAATTTCGAAACGGACGATTTCGTCGAGAGGATCTGGTCAAGAGGTACCTACAATTAAAACGATTACATCCGATTCCGGTTGGCTGGCGAAATTGTGCGCCTCTTTCCTTTCTCTCTCTCTCTCTCTTTCT